GAGGAGGAGGAGGAAGAGAAGAGGAGGAGGAGGAGGAGAAGGGGAGGAAGAGGAGGAGGAGGAGGAGAGGGGAGATAAAAGACACTCTTGAACCCATGCTGTGGTCCTCATACCAGCCTGGGGACCCGGGGTAAAAAGTCGCTGACAGTCTGTCTCCTCTTGGGACCAGTAGCTCCTACCTGCCACATGTGGGGCCTGTGTCCCTCCCCTTTCTGGTGTTTCCTGTGTGTCCACAGGTAGATGTGTCTGCGGGGCATTGCTCCTCTGGACGGCTCTGGCTTCCTCACCACGTCCTGTATCTCCTGGCAGCTGCCCCTACACGCTGACCTGGTGGCCTGGAGACTGACCTCTGCCCTCCTTGGGGACTGGGCGTCCCCACCACTGTCCTGGGTGGAGACACGTCACTGTCTGCCCTCTGCTCTCCAACTTTGATGATGCCAAAGCTCCAAGTAGAACACAGTGAAAGTGTCTGTCCTAGGTGGAAGGGGAGGGAAAGGGACAGTTTCAGGCCTGAGGGTCGGTGCGTGCCTTAGTGAGCGGCTGGGGCTGGCTTTCTTCCCCATCGGTCTCCCTACCAGCGGGCAGATGCCGGCTGCCTTTAAGCATTTTGTCCCTTAGTAATTTATGACAATATTTGTTCATGTGTTTTACTCCTAGGCTTTAAAAATATCTGAAAACCTCCCTCAGTGATAGGTTTGAATACGAGGTTGTCCCCAAAGCCCACATGGGACGTTCAGGAACAGTCAAGGGTCAATGATACGAGCGTGAGAGCTTGGCCTCACCAGTGGCCTGCTCCATTGGAAGGACTAATAATGTGAAAGGGTCACTGTGCTGGGCAGTAACTGGAGGCAGGTGGGGCGTGGCTGGAGGAGGCCGGTCACTCGGGGTGGCCTGGCTCCCCGGCTCCCTCTCCGCTTTGTGGCCACCGTGAGTGGAGCATGCTCCTCCAGCACACCCTTCCGCCAGGATGCCCTGCCTCATCTCAGGCCCCGGCAGTGGACTCAGCCAACTGTGGACCAAGACTTCTGACACTGTGAGCCCCAAAGAAACTTCCCCTCCTCCAAGATGTTCTTGCCTGTATCCTGGTCCTGGTGATGGGAGCAGACAGCTCGCCCTGGGGCAGGGGGAAGATCATCAGCTGCACGGGCACTTAGGTCTGAACTTTTGCCTCTGGATTCACAATGAAATTGAAGACAGTTTTAAAAACTTAAAAAGGAAGACAGGTTTAAAAGATTTGAATTAACATTTCACAGTCAACTAAATTAGTAACTATGGGCTTCAGTACCACTCTGTGGTAGCGGAAAGATCACTGTCTTAGAGTCTTGGCAGAGTTTTTTATTTCCTTGATTTATTATTTAGATTTCTTAATTTAGAAAAGCTCGGTTGGCAAATCCAGTCTTGTAAACAGAAGTCCCATTAATGCCTTTTTATCTTCGTAAGTCCAGAATATTCATCTTTTCAAAAGCCTTGGTCTAAACAATTTGTAACAATTACAAGTGAGTAGTTGTTCTCTGCTGTCTTCCCCCGATTCTACCTGCTGAGACCTCTCTGCAGAATGCAGCGTTCCCAGCCCAGGGTGTAGGCTGAGCCCCCAGGCCTCCCGGTGCTGACCCTCACCCCCTCGTGAAGGGCGTCATCTCCCCACTCTCCTGTTCACGTGCAGAGCCCCTCCCTCCCGCATGGGCCACTCACCTCCACGCTGAGTGTATCTGCTGCTGCTGCTGCTGCTGCTGCTGCTGTTTTGAAAGAGGAACATGGATTTATAAGCTCTGTGTCTGCAACAAGTCATATCTGCTTTGACATCCTTGGGGCTCAACTGGAACTCGTTGTCATGCCTCCTCCAGACCCTCAAGCTCCCGTCCTCGCGCTCGGGAGACTACCCGCTGTGCCCCCGTGAGACGGGAGAGCGCCCGCTGCCTCCCCAAGGAGCTCAGGTCAGGAGGTCAGGCCACCGCGGGGCCTGATGATGTCACAGCAGCATGAGGAGGACCCCCGAGAAGAGCCTGCTTGGGGAGCACCATCCACCTGAGCAGCTGATTCCCCAGTGTCATGAGGGTCAGGGACATCACCCACTGACCCTGCACAGGGCTCACATCCTGTCTCACAAGTTACCTCTCCATCAGGGCTGAGCACACAGGTGGCAAGTCCTTACCTGTGCACCACGGGACACTCAGTCGTCTGTGCAAACGCTCTGGGGATGAGGGGTGGATGGGAGGTCACGTCCTCGATGCCTGTAGGCAGCCTGCCTCAGCCTCTGCACTGCTGGGAAGCTGTTGGTTGTGGAGGCTGCCTGTTCATGGCGGGATCTGCAGCCATGCCCTGGCCTCCACCCTTGGAAGCCAGTAAACACCACCTGCCAGTCATCCCCTCACCCCATCCCAGATGGACAACCAGAAACCTCCCCACACATCCTGAATGTCCCGGGTGGCATTCCTACAGGACACTCACAGTAGCACAGTTCACTAACACTCCACGGAACTAGGGTTTGTGAAACACACCTTGGAAAGGCTGGTTGAGCGGGGCATGGTGACACGCACCTGTAATCCCAGGGGCTCAGCGTCGAAGGCAGGAGGATCAAAGTTCAAACCCAGCCTCAGCAACTTAGCAAGGCCCCAAGCAACTCAGTGAGACCTGTCTCTAAACACGACATTTAAAAAGGTCAGGGGATGTGGCTCGGTGGCTAAGCACTCTGGGTTTAATCCCCAATACCAAAAATGCAAGGGCTGGTTAGAGAAATATTCCTTCTCCAAGAAAGAAACCGAAAAGGACACAAACGGAAAGACCCCCCATGTCCGCGGATTGGGAGGACCCACACTGCTGAAACGCCACCCCAAGCAGTCTGCAGACTCAGCTCAGCCCCCCCAGACAGCAGACCCAGTGAGGGTCTTCATAGATTCGGAAGAAGTGGCTCATCCCTGGGAGTCCTGAGCGAGGCTCCATGTTCGAGAGAGTCCTGTGAGTGCCACACGCGCCCCCAGAGGACCCGCCTGGCACAGAGAGCAGGAACAGGTCCCTTCTACTGGGAGCTTCCTTGGATCAGCTGCTCTGAAGGTGGGTGTTGGGAGCAGAGGTGCCTGCAGGTGGAGAGGTGGGCAAGTAGGTGATTTCCATTGTCTTCCTGGGAGGGAAACTGGTGGAAAGTCTTCTAGTCGAAGTCCAACCCCCAAAAACTTCAGGTGTCTTCTCAAGTGTCATATCTCATCTGTGTGAGAGTGGGGGGCCTCCCTCCTGCCCAGCCCTGCGGACAGCCCTGCCCCACCGAGGGCTCCCGGGACTCACAGTTCTCAGGTCTCCGCCAGGCAAGTCCTGCAGCTGTGCCCGTTCACCAGCGCGTCACCAGCGCAGCTCGGCTAGACACCTGCAGGAAGTGTCAGAAGGGCCTTTCCCCTTGTAGTGCACAGGTCCAGGCAGGCAGGTGATCTGGGGCTGACATTAGCTGCACTCAGTAAAAACGTGCATTTTCTGCCTTACATAAAGCATCAGGGAAACCAGATGCATGTCCTTGAATATTTATGGTCTCACAGCTTCTTCTATTAATAATTCATTGCCCACAGTCACATCTACCCGTCAACACAGCTACGCCAGCAAGGAGAAGGAACGGAGCGCACCCCTCCCCAAGTCCCTGGACCTAAGCAGACAGATGGGGGAGCCACATGCCCGGTTCGGATCACCCTGTGAAAGATAATAAAACACACTTTGTTGGAATTTTCTATAACAAGCCTTGATTACTTTAATAAATCACAGGGGGGAATCACCAAGAAAAAAGCACTGCTTTTCCAGCCAAACTTCAAAGAGGAGCATTTGGCTTCTTTAGTCATTATCCAGCCAAAAATTTTTGCTAAAGTAATCTATTTGAAATACATAAAAAAGCTTTTTGCCTCTCAAAGTTAGCTTTGTCTTCAGCTCATATAGCTTTCAAAGTTACAAATGCTTTTGTCTCTGATTAAAATTTTACTCATTACAAGAGTGTCAGAAAATATTTAGGAAGTGAAAATAAGAAGTCCCCTGTGCCGTCCTAACCCACGGAGCTGGGCGCCACGCTGTCTCGCCTCATGACTTTGGGGGTGAGGAGACCCGGGGTATGGATGCGTGGGTCACACTCCAGGTCTTGCTGCACAGCTCTCTCTTTGCACAGAAACACACTGTGGCCCTCTCTGCTGCAATGCACACACGCACACTGCAGTGGTCCGGGGCGCCCACCACAGGTGACTCGGTGAACCCAGTTCTCTCCCAGTTAACATTGTATTTTGTTTTCCTTTTTTGCCCATTTGTTCTTTTTAGATATTCATGAGAGTAGGGTGTATTTTGACATATCATACATACAGGGAGTCTAACTTCCCGTTCTTGTGTTTGTACATGATGTGGTTGTATATTCATATACTTCATAGAAAGTGATGTCTGATTCATTCTACTGTCTTTCCCGTTCCCATCTCCCTCCCTTCCCTTCATTCCCCCATGTCCAATCCTGGGAACCTCCAGTCTTCCTGCCCGCCTTATTGTGAGTCAGCATCCAGATATCAGACAGAACATGTGGCCTTTGGTTTTTTTGGGATTGGCTTATTTCACTTAGAATGATAGCCTCCAGTTCCATCCATTCATTGGAAAATGTCATAATTTCATTCTTCTTTATGGCTGAGTAATATTCCACTATGTACCTCTCTCCCAGTTAACATTAAAGTTGCTTCCACATTTTCCTATTATTGGAACAGTGCTGTGATGAGCATTGTTGACGATCTTGCTTCTCCTCCCCTCCATTCCCATTCTGCCAGGAGAATGTGTGTGTCCACAGACCTGTCACCACTTCACTGTAGTCACTACAGGGCGGCCAGTGAGGACAACAAGGCTTCTGCCTGTAGCTCATGTTGTTTGCTCCACTGTGAAGACACAGGGGCAGAAGCATCAAGGGTGGACAGCAGGATGGCAGGTCCAGGCCCACTCCCTGTGGGGTCAGCATCCTGCTGGGAGAGGCATCTGAGAGATCACCCCAGACCCTCCCTGCAGGGAACACAGAGCCTTTGTGATGGGGTCTGTGCAGCTGGGGATCCCGAGCTAGGTCACCTTGCCCGAGAACCTGGGTTTTGATGTGATAAGCTCAGGTTTCCCTTGGTCTTATGCAAAGGGGATGTCAGGGCTGCAGTCACACGGCAAAGCACAGACGGCAGCCACAGGAGCCCAAGAAGACCCCCGGGTCAGGCAGGGCTGGTGCCCCCAGCCCATGCTTCCCTCCACGGTTCCTTCTGTCCACTATGGCACTCTGTGTCCAGCCAGCATCCTCCAGAAATGCCCTGTGTCCAGCTGAAGTCCTCCAGGGGTGCCCTGTGTCCAGATGAAGTCCTCCAGGGGTGCCCTGAGTCCAGCTGAAGTCCTCCAGGGGTGCCCTGTGTCCAGCTGAAGTCCTCCAGGGGTGCCCTGTGTCCAGCTGAAGTCCTCCAGGGGTGCCCTG